CGTCATGAACATTGTCGAACATCGTAACAAAAAAATCGTCCCACTCAAAGAAAAAATACGTCTGAGAATTATAAGCCTAAAATCAAAACATACATATACTCAGGTATAAAAAAACACTAGTATTATGTGGTTAGGACATTTAAACATGGCTGACTACACTGTAGCAGTTAACTTATAATTGTAAAATTGTGTGATGAACAAATGATCACACATTTTGTAAATGATTTGATGTCACTAATTATATCATTTATCAAATCAATCGGTTTGATAATTTTCTGACTTCAAATAGATCTTGAACTAGTGAAAGTGAAATATATATTGTGAGATTAAAATTATTGTGTTAAATTTTCATATCTATGTTAAATGTGTGAACAATTTTGAGTGATTAAATTTCTACAATATCCATATTAGGATAAGTCGTGGTTTCAGCTAAGTCACAGGTTGTTGGATGGCCCCCAAAAATTCTATTGTGTTTTGCCGACAGTTTTGAAAAACTAATGTTTTGACGCATTGTGTATTTAATTGGTCGTTAAAGGGCTGGAGGAGACAACTTAATACCTACTGGTCGTCAATTAATGAGATACAAAGGGTGACAGTGGCCTGAATAGGTGTCAATGGGGGTAAGAAGTCACGACCTATTTCTCTGTCGTTCCCTTTTGAAAGCTCTATAAAATTTGCTGCAGTGAGTTGAATCCATATGGAAATGGACGCTGTAATGTTGTCTATGAAAGAATACATACTATAAATAAGCACATGTGTGATTTTTTTCCATTTTCAATGCATAAACCCTCCTTTCACGTTACCCCTTGGTAAGTTGCAATCCTCGATAAGTCACAGTTTTTGCTAGGATCCAGACACCCATGACTTAGCGAGAGGCCACTGTATATTCTTGTAACGGAAGGGGGATGTCGCGCCATGACCTGTTCTAAGTAGGACTCATAGCGTTGTATACAATGCGTATAAAATACAGATTTTCGAACATGAGCTGTGTGACGACCCCAACCCTTTAAGTTCACCATGGATGGTATAAATTAGACTTGCGTTCACAGCTGATCTAGACATGTACCAACATGTGATCATTTTTTATCTCAATAATGTATTGAGATGTGCTGACACATTTCGGTTTGTGCCAACCCAGTGGCAACATTTGGCACATGTTAAAATAATATGAGCAATAATATCCATACAAAATCACTGATTACAGAGTTGCTTATTTGATAATGCTATAATTTGGGTAAATTTTCACAGTTTGGGAAGTGTTCACTAGCAGCTACAAAATTTTGTGATTTTTCCAAGCTTGTGAAATTCACAATAATTTGTCTCACTTACAAAAAAGAAGTTCTTTACCGTACTCACCTGTGTTTATGCAACACCAAGACAACACATAAAATTGTCCCTAATATAGCACCAACTATTTCACAAACTTTGAATGCCCAAGGTATATGTGGTAAGTTGTCTAAAACAATATCTGGTAATGGGGGATATTTATCAGTATCTGGTACCCGGTCATGCACAACCGTCATGGTAAACGCAGTCAACATCAATACTGAAGCGAAGTATACAAAACTAATCACAGTTTTCGATGTCTCAGTTACAAACATTGGCCGACTTTTTACCGACTCATCTGCGGAAAACATATCCTGAGAATCCGTTGAATCAAGTCTGTTGAGCTGATGTCTATACCCAGCTGTTTTCCGAGATCGTAGTCTTCTTGGTGATATGACATCGCCATTATCCCACTGCGATGAAGTTTTATTGCTCTCTCGCTGTAAACGTCTAATGCAGTGGATTAGTTTTTTTATATCACCGAGAATTTTAAGTTCTATTGGCGGTTTTCGGAGGTCATCCTCCATGAGAGAAAGCAACACCTCTCCATCCACTTTGTGTGTATCACATAGTAACTCCACATAACTTGAGAAACCATTCGCCTCCAGCCAATGGCCAGTTTGCTCTGTAGTCCATTCTGAGACATTTTCAGTCATGTTGCTTTCATTAAATAAAAAATATAAAAATTAAAATAATATACAAATACATATAGTTATGAATATGGCAATAGTCTAGAACACTATTCTGAACAGTTTATTCAGATGTAAAAACAAGATATAGCATTTGATTTGTCAAGTGATAAAAATGAGAAATTAATGCAATTCATCAATGCTTATGATCACACCAGGTGTTTGGTATCATTATTATTATTATTATTAGATCTTACTAAAAATAGAATTACAATAATCATAGAAGATGGTATAGCCTGTGAAATGGATCAAATTTGTGCACAGATGATGAAGACATTTTTTAACCTTATTTTGGATTAATTTGTTATGGCTTTTCAGTGTAAATTTTAAGAAAGTTTATTGCCTGAATAGAAAGCCCTTACAAAATTAATTTCAATGTCACAATAGGAATAAATATGTCTGTTGCCATTCCAAATATTGTTTACTCATTTATTTGTCTGAATCTAACAATCTAATGGATATTTTTATGCATGATATAATGCTAATTGAATTGATACAAAAGTGAGGGAAAGAGTATCTTAAGCTGCACACATAAGCAGAACCTTAGCACTGCAGCCCTACTGCCAATTTAATTGTATTCTAAAAAGTCATGTGTCTTTAAAGAGAGCATAAAGAATTAAATTGGGGGAATGGCGCAGGAGGCGGAGAGTTAGGATTTGGGCTGAAACTTTCATCATTTTCATTAATAGTGCTCCTCTAACCAAATTATGTAATCAATGCAGAAAAATAATAAATATTCACAATTACAAAGCCGAACAAGGACTCATATTTAATATTTATTACATATTTCCTATTATTTTACATCTGTCACCGTAATGCCAGCGTGCCGTAGTTTTGTGGTATTTTATGGGGTTTTTCATCCTACCATATAAGGAAATGTGAATCCCAAATATGGAATGATTACTTGCGTAAGCGTTCTCTAATAATAAAAACAAACATGGCTGCCAGGGTTTGACCGGACTCCATACAAAGAAGTTTGCTGATTCTGTTCTATACTTTTTGGATTTCGGCTTGGAAGGAAAAGGTGTATAATAATAAGGTTATTACGAGAATACCTCAAAGTATGCACTCAGATAGTACGTCGTCGCATCGACTTCCGCTGCACGTTGGACGATACTTTCGCTGTATAGTCTTCGTGCATATTTCGGGGTATCCTCAAAATAATCTTATATATATTATTTTGTAGGTCCATCATCCCTCCCCATATTAGTCTGGATAAATATTCATACTATTTTAGCAAGTCTAAAAAGTTACTATAAGGTAGCCCCAAAAGCCTATTCATAACAGCTTTGTTATTTTGTAAATTAAATAAAAGTTTATCAATAATTTACATTGATACTTTGTTATTAAAGTAGCATTTCCACTTTGCAAATATTTTAAGTATCCCTTCCACAAAAAGCTAAAAACATAAGATGCATTAGAATGATGTTGTTTTAGCTAGTATTATGATATACTAAAAGTAGATATCACTTTTCTGCTACTAGATGGCCTTAACTTATAGACAAGCTGAGTTCCCCCCCCCCCATGTGTCTATTGTTCACAAATGTAGCTTACTTTAGGAAGTCCACTTAAAATTATATTCTGCATTTAATTTCACTTTACACATTGACAATCTCAACATGTTATGATGTATGTATTGTAAAGGTTAAATGGTTCAAGGTAAAAGGTAAAGGTACCTCACAGATTTGCAAAGTGGGAAAACAACAACTTTAACATTACTCACAGTCGCTCTATAGAGGGCATAACTGTATCAAATATGAACGATTAATTCCTGTATGTGTAGGAATAATAGCCATCTGTGATAGACAAGGTCGAAAAATAAGTAACCCTTACTATTAAAAGTTTGTGGGCAGCGTTTAAATTAAGATGTGATTGCCTAGTTTTGGCTTTCAGCAATTACACTTGGGCATACTTCTAAAAGTCAAAAGCACAAAACTGATCTGACAATTCACTTCAAATTATTAATAATAGATTAGAATATTTGATTTATATCCATGGTAACGACGATAGGACATTTTTTTTTCGATTCAAGGTCAATAATATGTGAGATACAAGTTTTCTCATTCAAGATTTCCATAACGTCCATTGGATTCTGGTTACGGTAACCGTGTAAATACGGACCACCATTTTGACATGCAGTGTGCGTCACAGTCATGCAAATCATAAACGTAGAACGTTTTTATTTGAATTCATGTTCAATGAACTGATTTCTGACATGATTGAGGAAAGAACACTTGAAACACGAATCAAAGAGAAAGAAGCGAATCCAAGTCAATATAGAGTGGCGCTAGACGGGTTAGGTGGTGACATTAAACTACATGAAACGATAATATTTGTAAATGTATAACAAATGTAGGCCTACCCGAGTTGTCAGCATGTAAAGTCCCACAAAATCGCTCTGGTTATTGACCGCCCTCAACGTCATACGAACCTGACGATCATGCAGGGCGCCATCAAGCAGTATACTCTATAAATCAGTCGTTTATAACCTTTCACTCCCAAAATCCTTGAAATACAACCAGGGAAACCCGTTGAATACTGACGGCACCAGTCACTTGTCGTCCATCTTGGGAAATCCTCGGGATTTGTGAACTCACGTGTGCTGGGTAAGTTGGTTAGATTTTGATATTATAACCAGCACTTTTTCTGAACATTTAGCTGTACCATATGATTCTAACAGCCTCGTATAGAAGTATTATATTTTTTACGAGTATAGTTCCAATAATCATTACAATAATTGAAATTTTCGATCTGTACCTGCAACCGGCATATTCCTATGCCAAGAAATGGGCCGTGCACTTTCACACGTACTTTGTTCGACTGTGACCCTATAGTGTTTGGGCGGAGAAACGTCAATTATTATTATTTTGTTTAGTGCAATTTTGTTGTTTTTCACAAGTTCTGCGAATGATATTTGTTTCATGAAACTGGGCAACATTTGGTGAGCGATTCTTTCAACACTCCACATTGTGTGTCGATACTGACACTGATATCGGTCGGGTCAAGCCGGTTCCTGATAATCAACGACCTCAATGAATCAAATAATGTTCGTTCCCTCGCCGGTACCTGATTTACTGTCCTTATACTTGGATATAGTTGTACACATTAGTTGCTTTCACATATTAACGGTGCCAAGTAGAAGCGATTTAATCACAAATGATTCAAATATTACGTGCCAAAGACGGTGTGGTGTGTAAAGGTCACCGTGCACGAAAGGCAATTTGTTGCATGAACACATTTCGAAATTATTCCGCATCTATTTATATTGATAGATCTTGGTCATCGTCTCAAATTCGTATTTGGTGTACGCAAGTCTGGTGTAATATGTCCTACAACTTGCATTATGCAGCTTCATAGGTTATGAAATTATAATTTAATAATTAGTGTCGTTGACATTTTTGGTGTTTCTCAAATTTTCAACTGTGGACTTTGAACCTAGAGACAAAAATAGCGCCACACATTTAAATTTTTGTTGATTGCAGTGGTTGCAGTTGAGATAGTAAGGGTCTAGCTTTGAAAATCATAGATTAAATATCTTTATATTAGACTGTACAAAACATGGACTGTAAATGTATTTAAAAATAGTAAGGTAGTAACGTGAACTGTTCTGCAGCAGTGAAGATTGACTAGTACAAACAATATATTTCCTGTGCACTAGTTTCTGCTCATTTTGTTGTGATGTCTGTTGATTATTAATCTGGCATTATTACAATTACTGTAAAGGGGGTAATTATTCACTGGGTTTTAATTTAGCTTATTTCGCTGACTGGAGAAATGCGCTAAATTAAAACAGTGAATATGTAAAATTTAGCATAGAACACATTATCTAAATGACGAAACCGTGAATTTAAAACCCACTAAATATGCCTGAAATGGTAAATCAGTGAAATTTAAACCCAGTGAAAATTAGTCATTTTACAGTAACTACTAAGGCACCAAACTTGACCTTAGTGCACCCTGTGGAAATAGCTGTTGCTTCCTCCTTGATTAAGACAAAAGAATGACATCAATTGTTAGGTTTAAATACTCTATTGTTTTTATAAAGAGATGCATTTCTTTAATTGTTCAAATGAGATGCATCAGTGAAGTACTACAATGCACAAGGCTTCAATTATTGAATTTAACTACCCATTGTCCCCCTATCCAAAAACTACTTAGTCATCTGAGTTTCAATCACATTGATTGAAGGGCTCTGATCTGTGTGGGGAATCATTGCAGGAAATAATCTCTACTGCGAATGCATACCTTTCATGATGGCTCTTAGTGCTGCGAATAAGAATTTCTTTTATAAAAAAAAGTCTGTCTTCACACAGCCTGAAATATTGGTGAACCTGCATCAAACATTTTGAGTCTAAATACAAAAGGATTGAATTTCCGGACATGTTGAAATCAGGAATGTATTTATTAATCTGTATTTATTAAAGTTATTTCATGTTCCATTTGGTAGGTGTTGTCTTTGAAAAAAGTTCGACAAGATGTCCGTACCTCCATGCTATGCAGACCTAGGCAAATCTGCTAGAGATCTTTTTAGCAAAGGATTTGGTAAGTATGAATGAAACAAAAGCAATTTTAAAATTCCGATCAGTGATCTCTCAAAGGCCTTTGAACCATGATGGTGCTGCAGATATTTGCATTTTCAAGAAAACAATAGAATTATTATGGCCATGTATATGATTAAGATAAGCTAATTTATTGTCATTCATATGCAAATTAGCCATGTCTGATATGTTTAGGAGGTTGCTGTATAGTACTACCAGTATATTTCATAGGTCCCCACATTATAGCAGCAGATGTGTCAGTGTTCTCCACAATCCAAATTAGCTGGTGGGCGGCCTAATTAGCATAAATTTGCATATCAATTTGCATATCATTTACATACAGCATTCTCGCATTTATGACATGAACTGCAATACACACTAAGTTATTTACTATTCTTTTTAATTTAATTTAATGGAAACATGTTACAATTTTTTGAAATACAAACAGATTGATCACTATCAATATTTACGAAATGCAAAAAGTTTGAAATCGGTGATTTATGCGTTCGCAAATTATTCTGCGTTCATGAAATGCAATTCGAGTAACCAAGAGCAAGTACAAA